TCAGTTGTTTCCACTGATAGAGCTGAACGGGCTGGTGGGCCCATGCCAATGTTCTTTCGTGCATGTCAGGGGCACTCTTGTTTCGCCCAGAGCATAGAACGCATGCATGCGCCTTGCGAATTCGGGCTGGCGCGATGCCATGGGCACTTGCTGCGCGTTACTTCCTTAGAAACCATCAAGGAGTCCACATTAGGATCAGGGGCAATCAAGTACCCAAATAAGCTGAGTGGTTTGCGCCGAGCACCTGATTACGGACTTCTTAGGTTGATGCCTACGAGGTGAGAATTCCCTGCGTCATATGCTGAGCACATCCCTCACTGGCTCAGCCAGCGGAAGGATGGTGACGCTCCACTCGCGAAGGTCTACCAGGCTGCGGGCGCTGCCCCGGCTGGCGGTGGACCTCCGACTCGGGGAACTTGGCCTCGCGCAGTTACCCCATCTCTCTGGGAAACGGATGCGACGCATAACGAGAACTGGCAATACAGTTTCGCCTTCAACGGGCGAGTGGTGACCCGCCTAAGGCATCGCATCAGCCGCGACGGAACTCTTGTGACAACAGGACAAGCACGCTTCAATGACATCTCTCGCATCGTGCCGTTGACGCTGGTCGGGCAGAATGCACGTAATGCGCAGCAAATGATCTGGAACATGATATTTTCTCAAGAATGGTCTGCGCATGAAATGTCTTTTTCGCGTGGCACAATTTGAACATGGGTATTTTCCGACGAACAAGTGGCCGATGTAGGGCAGAGTACACTGTCCGAAGAAGAAAAGGCATTCATCACGGGGAGAATGTAGACTGACGATGGGAGGTAATTTGCAATCAACGCCATGCTGCGAGGGCTGGTTTCGGATATTGTCTACAATGCCTCACCCCTGTCACGTACAAACATAACGTCATAGTGAACTATGTACAATCGCCTGGTAGAGATGCATTGGTTGCTGCATGGATGAGCCTAGGACTGGCCCCACGTCTAGATGCACCCCCAAGAGGGGGCAGCGGCTCCCATATCATTTCTAACAGGCTGAAAGCGATGAAGAAGAGTTTTTCCGATGCTCTGGAACATGTGAACAAAGCTGAACAACACCAGCGCAAGCGGGTTAGCAACTCACAGATACGTTCCCGGGCTGCTTGGGCAGGTCGTACGTTTGTAGATTCGCAGCCAGGGGCCGTCCCTTCCTGGAGACATGACAGCGCCTCGGCACACCCGCCGGCACGTCATGAGCCATGTTTCCAGTATCTGGAACCGCTCAAGCTCCGACTCATTGACTGGTTGAAGTTCAAGCATGGGGAAAATGCCTTAACCGCTGCCCAATGGTGGCCATGAATCTGGACGCCAGATCTGGACCAATACGCTCGTCCAATCAGATGCTCCGTTCTTGCTGCTTTTGATTGGGAACCTGTTAGTGCCGAGCAAATTCGCCCAGACACAGGCTGGAACCAATGGGAACAAGAAATGGCGGACAAAGGAGTTATAATTCCATCAGTTCAAATGTTAACGGAAAACTTGAACGAAGCCCACCGGATTTCTGCGTCGAACCAAGTCGGAGACATAGATTTCCGGGTTGTTGTTGCTTTTCATCATCGGCCCAGCCGCATTGATGAAGTGATATCAGCACGTGAATAGAAGGCTGCGATGCCGGATGGAATATGCAACCGACACATTGCCCAGAGTCATCAACTGGTTGTCCCGACGAGAACGCTGCCCTTTTGGCTTGATTTGGGTACTATTGCTGGCTGCATGTCTAATTCTAAGTGCAATGACAACCCGTACGATAGGTCAGAACATATCAGAGTTGCAACGCAATTCTTTCTTGAATGTTTACCGGCAGTCCCAGATACGATGCCATTGGACAACGACATTAGTCATGATGTACCGCCGAGATTGTCCGAGCTTGCGGATAAACTATGGAACCAACCATTTGACCGAGCCCCCACTCACGGGAGATGGGGGCGGGTTCTGTTAGATGTACTAGAAGACATATTATTGTTCATGTCTGCATGAATCAATGCCACATTTTTGATTCGAGGTGCAGCGCGATCCAAACCATGCGAATGCAGTTCTTGAAGCTATGCGTGATGCTTATGCTTTGGATTGTCGGATGAGGTCCAGCATCGAGTCATTTGACCTATTGCATGAATGGGCCAAATGATCAGGACATGAAGCATCAGAGACCCCAGAACGGAATTGCTCAAGTATCCAAGAAGCTATAGTTTGCATGCGTGCGTCTACGGAATCTCAGTGTAGTGTCAAGATCTGTCTTGCCAACAGCCGTTTTGGATTTTTCAAGGCTGACGGTGCCATTGGAAGCGCCAGTTGCCTCAATGAGAAAGAGGTGGAGAGCGGCCCAGCCGACGATCCCACAGAGACAATCCCAGCTGAGTCTCCAGCAGATGCTGCAACCACAATCGTTGAAGAAAATGCCCCGGGCGGCGCCGCCGCTCCGGGGCAGCGAACTCCGCGACATCTTCGCCCAGAATCGAGAGCGCGGCACCGGGGGGGGGGGGCAGTCCTATAGGGCCGCCCCTACGCCTCTGCGCCCGCCGGCCCAGCCGCGTCGGGCGCCATTGCTGGCTGGATTAACGACGACAGGGTCCAGTCATGGGCAGATGAATCTGGGGCCGATGGCCCGTGATGGCGAGATCGGCTGTAGAGCCGGGCGGCCGCGCGAGCGATGGCGGCGGCCCCGGGCCGGCCATTGGCGGCAGCTACGACGCGACGGTCGACTGCGAGGACAGGAATGAGAATGGACAAAGTCAAGGATACTACGTGCATGTATCTCGTCATCAGCGGGTCACTGGCCGTGCTGAAATGTGGCGCTGGTTTTGTTTGAACGACTACAACGACGAGTTCAGGCGTGGCTCTGGGATGCCGAGCACCTTGCCAGAGCCCCCGCCGCCGCCTACGTCGAAGGCGAGGCCGCGCGAGGAGGGCCAGGGCAAGAGTGAGCCAAGCAGCTGGAGTTCAGGCAGAATATAAGATAGACATGACAGCTACTCCAGAGATCAGTACCAGTGGAACTGGAGTAACAGAGACACGTGGGATGATTCTCGTGAATGGAGGAGTCATCGACAAAGGTGACGCAGCACAAAAGAACCAGTACGACATAGTCGATGCTGGTCCAAACTACATCTTGGAGCGGGTGCACCAGGTGTGCACGGGCACTGGGGCCTGAGCTGGGAAGTACGAGCTCCGGCGGGGAACGTCGGGTTGCGTCGGCTTTCCGCCCCTTGGCAATCACCGTCGAGCGGTAAAATGCTTTTGGGGTTCGCTCCGGTGGCTGTACATATGTACTGGTCAGGTGGGTTTGGGGTCGGGGCGGCTCTACGGACCCCGCCGCGGGGGGAGCCGATGCACCCCTTCCGCGCCACCATCCTTTTGCCCTTACTGCTTCTTTTCTGCAGCTACAATTTTGGCTCTAGGGAAACGGAAGAGGAGCGAGCCTGCGGCGCGCCCGCGTGCGTCGGCCGGCGGGCCGTCCTTTTCCCTTCAGTTTTACCCTGCTGTATGCTTGGCGGCTTTGTCCCTGCTTCCCCATGTCATCGGCGGAGCCCACTGACCATGATATATCATCAGAACATTGCAGGGATTGTGAATATCCAGGCAAAAGACTACAGGTGCCGACGTGTTTCTGCGCTTGTTCCGCCCTCGAGCGAACAGGACTGGTGCGAAAGGAACGGCCTCCACACCTGCTCTAAAACGAGCCGTTCGCTTGAGACATTCTCAACAATTCTGCGCGCAGGACGCGCCATCCTCGAGGGGGGGCGCAGCAAGGCAACGTGTCCAGATGTGTGTAAAACATGTGGTCACCAGACAACGTTATTCATCGCCGATTCTGCGGAAGACGCTTCGCACCTTTCTTTAAGCAAGGGGGCACGAAGGTCGGCGGACCTCGTCATTGATCGCAGATCCGAAACGGGGGGCGCATTTATTTCGAACCGACACCAGCGAATCGCAGGTTTTCAACACAACAGGTGGCTTCACCGTGTTATGTATCGCAAGTAATTCCGCCGGCCAACCCCGACGTGGCACGGGGGACCGATTACCATCCTAAATGAGATCCCTGGGCCCGAGCTCTTTCCAGACATATCACTGAATCCGCACGCGCGCGCATATGTCAAAACCAGACCAAACAGACAAGTTGAGCACGCATGTTAACAGAAATACAGACGCCTCCCTTTGGTTTTTTTCTTCATCGCGCACCTTTCAGAGTTTCTGCCCGCGCGCACTTACTGAATTCATTGGGCCAACCATCTGAGTTTAGCGAGCTCGTCTGGAATCTGCAGCCTTATCTCACAACACAGTGCATCCGCATTGATCCAGCATGCGCCTAGTGCACGGATCCGTGTCCAAAATTTGCCATGCGGGCCACACGCGCGCCGCCAGGCGCGCGCCTGTATTTTTGTCCAGAACGAATTCAACGAAGAAATCTTCAAACACATGAGCATCGACATGTTTCTCAACAGAAGTGTCAGGTTTCTTGCATTTCCGCTCGCGCGCACTGACGTGCCCACGCGCCGACGAGGTTTTTGAGATGCGCTGGGAAGTTGCATCGGTAAGCGCCATCGCTGCCGCGTCGGTTGCGCCAAACCAGCTGACCGCTCAGCGCGTGAGCTTGCGCGCGCTAGGGCAGCCGCAGAGATGCGCTAGCCAGCGCCAAGTAGTCACCGCAGTCGCGGGCGCGTGGACTGTGCAAAACAAGTTGCGGGTTTGGGGTGATTGCGCGGGCACTTGAGCTGACGACTTGACGTTACGCAAGATGGCTTGCGCCTCCTAGCTTGCACCACGTAGTTTGCACCACACAAACGACGCCCCTGCTACTGCAGCATGGACCGTGCACATCGACCGTGCAATAATATACGACTGGCAGAATCAGTTGGGAAGAAGCATGGCATGCGCGAGATCCATCCGACAGGCGTGGTCCAGAGGTCCAGACCCGCCATAACCTTGGCCCGATGGTGGTCGGTGGTGGTGTTCGTGGGTTAGTTCATTTCCCAGGCGAGCAACATCGAGGGCGTGCAGAAGGACCTCCAGGCTGCGGTGGCGGCGGTGGACAAGCCGAAGGCCCCCCCGCCTTGCACAGGAATAGTTTGAAAACGAGGGGCATGTTCCAAAGTGTTCGCGACTGATGTATCGAGGGTGTGTTGTTTCGTTGTCGCTCTCTCTCTCTCTCTTGCTCTTTCTCCCGTCTGTTCATATAGTTCGTTATGATTGTTTTTCTGTTTTCTCTTTCTCTCTCTCTCTCTCTAGTTATATCCGTAAGGGCTTCGCCCCCTGCCGCCGGCCCCCTCTCTCGGAGAATGGGCCATGGAAGAGCGAAGTCATGAGGCTTTGGCTTTGCCGTGAAGCAGTGTCGGAACCTATTTGTTTTTCGACCCTGACCCTGCGGATCTGCGTGAGGGGTGCCAGGAAATTTGAGAAATGTGGCAAATCCCTTGTGTTTTTGGACCCTTACCCCGCCGATCTGCGTGAGGGGTGCCACCGAATTTCAGAAATGTGGCAAATCCCTTCTGTTTTTGGACCCTGACCCCGCCAATCTGCGTGAGGGGTGTCAATTTTTACCCCCCCAGGAATTCTGAGAACCCTCCCGGGGGACGCTAACCAGGCTAGTTTTCGGCTCCCCCTCCTCGCGCGGACAGTAACAACTTACAGTAGGAAGCAGAAAGCTGCACTGTAACAATGGAAACTGGAAACTGGAACTGGTGCAGGGAGCAGCAAGCTTAAGCCTCACAGCCTGATGGCCCCGCATGGGGGCCGGCGGATAATGTTGATGAATACCATGGATGAATACCGGGTCCCCAGCCCGGGGGCCCCGCCCACATCAAAACCATCGCGCCCCCTTTTCCCCAACCATCCTGTGGTGTTTGGTCCTCGTTTTGAAGAGACAGCGCCCGCGTCCTCCTTCCTTCTCCTCCCACTGCCCCCCCTCCCCCATCATCAGCATCATCGTCACCGTCATCACCATCACCCATCATTTTGTGGTGTTGGGTCCTTGTTTTGAAGAGACGGTGCCCCGCGTTCTCCTCATTCCTTTTTCCTCCTCCTCCTCCTCCTCCTCCTCCCTCTCCTCCTCGTCCTCCTCCTCCCTCCTCCCCCTCCTTGCTTTTGCTCTCCGCAGGTCTGTGTTTCGGTACACCCCTCACACGTTTCATGGCCCCACCGAAGGCCCCAGTGCCACCGCCCACATGGCGCCGCCGCTCCATTTCGGCACACCCCTCACACGTTTCGTGGCCCCATAGGAAGCTCCATCTAAGGTCCCAGTGGCACCGCCCGCATGGCGCTGCCGCCCCATTTTGGTACACCCATTACATGCTTCATGGCCCCATAAGGAGCTCCACCGAAGGCCTCAGTGCAACCGCCCGCATGGCGCCGCCGCCCCATTCTGGCACACCCCTCACACCTTTCGTGGCCCCATAGGGAGCTCCATCTAAGGTCCCAGTGGCGCAGCCCGCATGGCGCCGCCGCCCCATTTTGGCACACCCTCACACGCTTCGTGGCCCCATAGGGAGCTCCATCTAAGGTCCCAGTGGTGCAGCCCGCATGGCGCCGCCGCCCCATTGTGGCACACCCCTCACACGTTTCGTGGCCCCGTTGTGGTTCTCACCTTTTTGGCTTCCCGACGCTCCAAGATAGCCGAAGAGGCTCCCGAGATCGCCCAAAGACAGCCCAAGAGGCTCCCAAGACGGCCCCAAGACAGCCCGAGAGGGACCCAAGCAGCCCAAGAGGCCTCCAAGACGGTCCAAGATAGCCCCAAGACGGCTCTAAGAAGGGGCGCAGACAGGGAATCCGAACGGACCGTTCGAGCCTTCGGCCCCAAAAAGCCCCTAGGAGACTCCAAGCAGCGCCCCAGAGGCCCCCAAGACGCCGCCAGAAGCTCCCGAAGGGCTCCCACGATGCATGTCACAGGCGCACGACAAACAGATCCCACGCTCCCTGGAGGGGGACGAGGCGGGGAGGAGGAGGAGGAGGGGAAGGAGAAGGATGGGGGTAGGAGGAGAAGGAGGAGGAGGGGGAGGAGGAGAACGAGGAGGGGGAGGAGGAGTAGGAGGAGTAGGAGGAGTAGGAGGAGGAGGAGGAGGAGGAGGAGGAGGAGAGGGGGAGGAAAAGGAGGGAGAGTAAGAGGTGGAGGAGGAGGAGGAGGAGGAGGTGGGGGGGAAGGATGGGGAGGGGGAGGAGGGGGCGGAGATGCAGGAGGAGTCGGAGGGGGAGGAGGAAGACGGGGAGGAGGTCGGATTTCTGGGCTAACGCCACATATTTGGACCTGTGCCTGCTCATACCGTCTTCGGAGCTGTTCCGTGGCCACGGCTAGAACCGAAGCGCGAAGCGCGCGTGGTTCTTGTACATATATATATATATATATAGAAATAGAGATGTCTTTCTCTCTCTCTCTCTCTCGTCTTCCCCCCTTGTCCCTTCACCCACGTACCTTCTCTCTCTCTCTTTCTGTCTACCCCTTTTTTCTGACTCCGCCCTCTCTCGCCCTCTCTCTTTCTCAGTTTATGTATTCTTATATCATTCGGACGTGCAGTCTTTCCAGCCGCCTTGGTACTGCGCCGCACGTACTTTGGACACATATTGATCAGTGCTTGCTGGAAACTATTGTCGCTCCATGTCTGTGTTCCTTTTTGGTCGTTGCTCCCCTTTATTAGTTGGGGCCACGTTTCTATGTGATACAATGTGTTTGCCAACGTAGCAGTCGCTTACCAGTAACATACCCTTTTTGGGATTTGTCGTATCTCCACCTTTACAGCTGCGCTGCTTTTCGCCCTAACTGCCCTTGCCTCTGACGCTGTGCCGTGTCAAAGTACATTTTCGGTGTTTACTATTGGTTCAGGCCCCTCTTAGCACTTACAGCTGGTGTCGATCTGCGATTCGACATCCTTGGGCGTTCCGCCTCTGTATGCCCTGGATCCAGCAAGCCCACTGGAACCCGAACAACGGCGACATTACCAAAGGAGACGCAAACGGAGGAACGGTCGCCTGCGTCTGGTCGTACCACCACGAGATAACATCTGGGATTGGTTCGACATTCCTGGCACTCAGGTCAAGTAGGGGTGGACAATTCTGGGATTATGCTCGCTGGCTATGCTTTGTCACTTTCCATTATTCAGGTGTTCCGTTCTCGTTATTTCAAAGCCGGTGTGTTCAACTCAAACACAGGCCGACACGAGCGGCCGTGGGCATTGCCCCCCTGCCGCCAGCGGCGGGGCTTGCCCCGCCGTCTGCCTGGGAGTGGCGGTGGACCTGAGCAGCGGGGTCATCCATCCCCGTGCTGCTCTCGACGGTTGCGGATCTTCTCGGGGCCACGGCTGTTTGCAGCCTCTGCGGGGGCTGCTACATCGGGTCCCTGGTGGCCCGCCGGTGGGGGTTCCGCGCGCGGGCCGTGATCGGTGCCCCGAGCGGGCACGGTCGCGGCGCACAGCGCGCCCTGGCCTACGGCCCAAAAGCGTGGGCCGAGGAGCGCGCGCGGGCCCTTCCACAAGGCCCGCCCGCTGCTCCGCCCCGAGGTTAGTCCTCTTTGGTGGCCCGCGGCTCATTCGGCGCGCGCTGCCAGCAATGGCAGCCGATGTTTTGGCAGCCGGGGCCTTGCCATCCCCGATGGGCCTGTTTGGCCCGTCCTTCACCCGTTCACTCGCCGTCGGCCCCCAGGTACGACCGCTGGCGCTTGGACGAGGGCGAGGTAAGCTACGCCGCGATCCCCCTGGCTTCGCGGCCTGGGGGCATCCTGCTGGCGCTGCCTGGGTCCTTCCGCTCGGCCGACAGTCTCAGTCTGGCGGAGGCGGAAGGATTCGCAGGGCTTGTGAGACCCCTTCAAGTACAAGTGGTTATCTTGCCATTGTTCGGCGCGGCATCGCGCCCGCTGAGCACGACCGCTTCTGTGCTGGTGGTCGACCTAAAGGTTTCGGAGATGGATCTCGAGGCTCTCACTATAGGAGACAGCGACGGGCTTGGCCCGTTCGGGTCGGCTCGCGGCCGTGCGCATTGGCTGCGCCCCACAGGGGTCTTCGCCCTTCGCGATGGCTACGTAGCCATTCTCACGGCGCGTCGACCGCCGATGGGGGGCGAGGCCGCTCCAGGCGCTACCCCGTACCAGTCTGCTACGAACGAGTTCGGGGCCGGCGGCCCAGGGGACGACGCCGAGGCCGAGGGCCTCCCTCCTCTCCCGGCGCGGGCTTCGCCGCCGCCGGAGGTGCCTCCGGCGTTCCACTACTTCCGCGAGCGCAGCCCACTGGGGGCCCGCCCAGCGACGCGCGATGTCCGCACTTTGCGCGGCCAAGCGCGGAGCTGTGGCCCGCGTCCGAGAGCGGGGGAGCGGACAGCGTGGAGACCCAGTAGCCTGCCAGCGCATGTTCATCGACCAATTGGCGGGGGTGCGCGGCTATCTGGAGGCCTCGCGGTTCCTCGCGGGGTTGGGGGCGCCGCCCGTGCAGGCGACCCGTCCCCGCGCAGAGGGGGCTGAGTTGCTGCTCTCCTCGTTGGTGGACCCCCGATGGCTTTCGGCGCTGGCCGATCACGTGAAGGAGACGGCCTTCTTCCGATCGCGCCTGGACGCCGAGTAGGCGGCGGGGCGCGCGGAGGCGCTGGCGGCGCCCCCGCGGCCGAGGACTTCGTCCCAGGCAAAGCCCAGATGTGGCAAGTCCCCTTCAACAACTCCCCCCCCCAAGAAGGCCAGTGGGGCCCGATGGGGGGGCGCGCGCGTTTTGCACGCGGTTGCCGAGGGCTGGAGTCGCGACGAGTCGATCAACTCGACGACGTCTCGGCTGCTAAGCAACCGCGGGGCACCGACCGCCAACTGGACGAGGAGTCATCTGCTCTGACTTTGTGGGATCACTCCTCTCGCTCGCGCACGCAGCTTTGTTGCCTCGCCCGCACACGCCCGACAAGAACACGAAACCGAAACCGATTTCTCGTTGGGGGATTCCGTTGCACTTCGATCAGACTTTCCAATTTCCTGTTCACTCTGCGCAGCACAGAGGTTTCGAAGGGTTTTGAGAAGATTCACTCGGTCCTTCGCAGCACGGTGGCGGATGGCCGGAAGCGCCTTTGGAGTGGACCGTTTTTATTACCTAACAGCGTAGACTGATAGGTTTCTAGTTGACTCAAAAGAGCTCACAGATCACTCCACAGGGGGGTCCGGGCAGGCGTTGGGAGTTGCCGGCCGGCAGGGTGCCGGGCCTGTGCCGGGCTCGTTTTTCACCAACAGTCACACACTTCGTGCTCGTCGACCTCTCAGAACCCCATTCCCAGGCCACATTCTGAATAACCGGATGCAACAGTCACACACTTGGTGCTCCTTGACCTCCCAGAACGCCATTCCCGGGCCACATTCTGAATGCCCGGAGCCAACTGTAGGCCACTTCGTGCTCTTCGAGTTCCCAGAACTCCATTCCCGGGCCACATTTTGAATGCCCGGAGCCAACTGTAGGCCACTTCGTGGTCTTCGAGTTCCCAGAACTCCATTCCTGGGCATGATTTTGAATGCCCGGAGCCAACTGTAGGCCACTTCGTGGTGTTCGAGTTCCCAGAACTCCATTCCTGGGCATGATTTTGAATGCCCGGAGCCAACTGTAGGCCACTTCGTGTTCTTCGAGTTCCCAGAACTCCATTCCCGGGCCACACTTTGAATGCTGAGGCAGGCTGATGCTGAGGCTGAGGCAGGCTGAGGCTTGAAGGCTGAAGGAGGACGAGGCTGAAGGCAGACTGAGGCTGAGGCTGAAGCAGGCTGAGGCTGAGGCTGAGGCAGGCTGAGGCTGAGGCTGAGGCAGGCTGAGGCTGAGGCAGGCTGAGGCTGAGGCTGAGGCAGGCTGAGGCTGAGGCAGGCTGAGGCTGAGGCTGAGGCTGCAGGCAAACTCAGGCTGAGGCTGAAGCAGGCTGAGGCTGAGGCTGAGGCAGGCTGAGGCTGAGGCTGAGGCTGAGGCAGGCTGATGCTGAGGCAGGCTGAGGCTGAGGCTGAGGCTGATGCAGGCTGAGGCTGAGGCAGGCTGAGGCTGAGGCCGAGGCTGAAGGCAGACTGAGGCTGAGGCTGAAGCAGGCTGAGGCTGAGGCAGCTGAGGCTGAGGCTGAGGCTGAGGCAGGCTGATGCTGAGGCAGGCTGAGGCTGAGGCTGAGGCTGATGCAGGGTGAGGCTGAGGCTGAGGCAGGCTGAGGCCGAGGCTGAAGGCAGACTGATGTTGAGGCTGAAGCAGGCTGAGGGCGAGGCTGAGGCAGGCTGAGGCTGATGCAGGCTGAGGGTGAGGCTGAGGCAGGCTGAGGCCGAGGCTGAAGGCAGACTGATGTTGAGGCTGAAGCAGGCTGAGGGCGAGGCTGAGGCAGGCTGAGGCTGAGGCAGGCTGAGGCTGAGGCTGAGGCAGGCTGAGGCTGAGGCTGTGACTGCGACTGCTGTTGCCACTGCGACTGCCATCGCGAATGCGACCACGACTGCGAGAACAGCAGAATTCTACAACAGGATTCTTATCTGAATCTTAAGGGGAATGCTTCCAGATATGCTCCTACACATCGCTGTTAGGTTGCTTTGCCGGGATAATGTTTATGTTTAATGTGTCTTTATTTAATCGCTTCGCTCATGCCGCCGGCCCTGGAGCCCTCTTTAGGGCCTCTTGGGGGCCTCTTGGGGACCTCTTGGGAGTCTCTTGGGGCTCCTTGGCGGCGTTTTGGAGGCCCCCAGGGCCTCTTGGGGGGCTCTTGGGGGTAGTCGATTGCGGCTCCCCCCTCGGAGGCCACGATCCTCGTGAGGGGTGTCGAAAAATACCCTCCCCTGGAGTGGTCTGGTGGCTTCTCCCGGGCTTCTCTCGGGACCTTGCCGGGGTACTTTTCGTCCGGGGGCCCCCAGGGGCCGCTCCGCGCGCGCGAACTAGAAATATTGTTAACAAGTTACCGGAGATCTTAGCACGCCTCTGGCCCGTTGGGCCGGCGAATTGGTGGTTCCGGGCCCCACCTGGGAACTCGCTGGCGGGTTTCCGAAAACCTCATCGGACAAGGTCGTGAAGCGCCGCTTTAGTCTAATGGGCGGATGGGCGAGGAATAAGAAGAATAAGAAGAAGAAAAGGAAGGCGTGGGCGACGAGGAGGCGAGGAGGCGATGACGAGGACGACGTGGATAACGTGAAGATAGCGAGGAGGATCATGAGGATAACGAGGAGGAAGAGAAACACAAGGACCAGGACGAAGAGAACGAGGGCGAGTACGAGGAGGAATGCGGAGGACGATGACGACGATGACGACGACGACGACGACGACGATGACGACGACGACGACGACGACGACGACGGAGGGCCGCAAGATGCAATCGGAGAACGACGTTGACTCAGGAAAGGGTCCTGGTGACCCTATCGGGCTATCCTGGGGGTTCCTGGCGCCGCGCGGGGTTGTCTTGGGGCCTGTTGGGGGTTTCTTGGGGGCATCTTGGGTTCTCTGGTGGGCTTCTGGGGTTTACTGGGTCTGTCTGGGCGCGTCGGGGAGTTCTTTGGGAGCTTCCTTGGGCCGTCTCGGCGCCATCTTGGGCCGTCTTGGGGCTTTCTTGGGCTTTTTGGGGGCCTCCTGTGGCCCTCCCTGGAGTCTCGTGGGGCCCTCTTGGCCCGTCTTGGGCCGTCTGGGGGATCTTGTGAGCTGTCTGGGTGCCTCCTGGATCGCTCTTGGGGGTCTCTTGGGATCCTCTTGGGCGCTCTTGTGCGCTCTTGAAACCCTCCGGCGTCTCTTTGGCCTCCTTTGGGCCGTTCGAAAGCTGTCTGGGAGCGATTCCAAGACGATGTCGATTCGGAGTCCCCTCCAGGACCGGTTTTTTGAGGATGACTCGGGCGAAACGGTCCCGCCGAACGGTCCCCAAGAGACTCCGGGGAGCGCCACAGGAGGCCCCCAAACGGCCCAAGAAAGCCCCAAGACGGCCCAATATGGCGCCGAGACGGCCCAAGGAAGAACCTAAGTAACCCCGCGACGCGCCCAGACAGTCCAAGAAGACCCCAGAAGCCCGCAAGAGGACCCAAGAGGCCCCCAAGAAGCCCCCAACAGGCCCCAAGACAACCCCGCGCGGCGCTAGGAGCTCCCAAGGTAGCCCGATAGAGTCACCAGGACCCTCTCCTGATTCAACGTCCATCTCCGATTACATCTTGCGGTCCTCCGTCGGCGTCCTCGTCGTCGTCGTCGTACTCCGCATTTCTCCTCGTACTCGCCCTCGTTCTCTTCGTCCTGGTCCTTGTGTTTCTCTTCCTCCTTGCTGTCCTCATGCTCTTTCTCGCTATCCTCACGTTCTCCACGTCGTCCTCGTCGTCGCCTCCTCGTCGTCCACGCCTTCCTTTTCTTCTTCTGCGCCCAAGAAGTCTCTTGGACGAAAGCGGCGCCTCGCGTGCTTGGCCGATCAGGCTCAGAAAACAAACAAATCATGTGTTGGTCTGCTCGCCACGCAGAACTCTGCACCTTCGGGATATGATTCCATTGCGTGTTGCGTCTGCGTTGATGCTGCCGCCGTCGACGTTGTGCATCTATTGAGTGTTGTATGTATGTCATCGTCAATGTCTCGCATGCTGGTTTGGCGTGTGGTAATGGCCGCGGCACGTTCCCCTCCTCCCCCGAACAATTGCGTTCGCCACCCCACATGACACGCGCTTTTTTGATTGCAGCAGAGATGTTTTCCGTTGCGTTCGTGGGTGATGCGCGCATTCCCCTCTTTTCGGCGTCTTGTCTGATTATCTACCTGTCTGCCTTTTAATGTCTGCGTCGGGTTCTGCGTCTGTGCCTGGCTGTCTGCCTGACTGTCTGTTTGTCTCCCTCTCTTCCTCTCTCTCTCATCCTCTCGGTCCTTCTCTATCTATCCCTTCATTATCTTCTCTCTCTCTCTCTCTCCCTGCCGTGTTTTTGGTGTTTTGTTGATTGCTCCTCATTCTTAATGTTTTGTTTCTCCCTCTCTTTCTCTCTCCCTCTTTATGTATCTCTCTCTCTCTAGCACTCCTCTATCTCTTTCTCTTTTCTTCCTCTTTAGTTCCTATATCTGTCTCGAAAGCAACCGCGATCCACATTTCGATCTGTGCGGCGAGAGCCCCAAGGTGACCGCGATTTGCGCGATCTGTGTCTCTCTCTCTCTCTCTCCCTCTCTCATTATCCCTCTTCGCCATATGCCTCTCGTATAGCCTCTCGTCCCCTGGCCTCCCCTCCCCATCTGCGTTTGTTTGTTTCTCTCTCTCTCTCTCTTGTTCTGTCTCTCTCCCTTTCTGTCCTGGGCCGTCGGCGGCTGCCCTCCCCTCCCTTCCTTCCCGTTTCCGGAGGTCACAGAGTGCTTGGAGTCAATTTTGGGCATGATCAAGGGTGGCCAGGTCGTGGGGGGCGCAGCAGATCCTCCTTCAAGGGAGGAAGCATCTTCTCCTTCCCTCCTGTTTGTTACGGCATAGTACTGGGCGTCTCCTGATGTTCATTGCCACCTGTTCGCCCGTTCTCCTCTTTTCTTTGTCGCCGCTGCTTGTGCCCAGGGCTGTCTATATGCAAGCACTGGCTGAGGGTCTCTTGGGTGGTCTTGCGGCGGTCTTGGGAGCCTCTTCGGCGCTCTTGGACCGTTGGAAACTCGAAAACGCGAGAAGGCAAAAACATGGAAAAAACAATGAACATCTACGATTTTGGCCTCTTCGGGCCGTCCCGGGACGCCTTTCGGACCTCTCTGCGGTCTCTTGGAGGTTACTTGGGAGCCTCGAGAGCCGTCGGAAGGCTGACTTGGGCTGCTTGGGGGCGTCTTGGACCATCCTTTCGCATTCTGGGCGCTCCTGGGAGTCGTCTTGGGCGCTCCTGGAGCGTTGTGGAGGCTCCCCGGAACGCCCAGGGAAGCGGTACCGGGAGCGTCCACGAGATGTGGTGGGGAGGTGTGGCACCCGGGGCCGGGGGGGCGGTATTTATTTATATCATATAGACAAGCCGTACATATGTATACATGTATTCATACGCACCCGTCTGTATAGGATACGCCTGCCAACCATACACAGTGCAATCTCTATATACACATACCTGAATCTATGTACGGTAGGTTAGTGTCGTGTCGACCGGCGGCGACCCCGCCAGCGGCGTTCAACCTTGAACGCCGCGGGCGACCCAGAATCGTTCGATGTGGAACGATTTGGACGTTTCGGAAACGGCCGATCGTTCAAGGTTGAACGATCCCCGCGGTGTCAGAAACCAACGCCGGGGTCGACACGACGCGAACCTGCCGTACATGTGTGCAGACGCATTTGCGCAACAGCTCATACTTGTTTCCGTGTGTGCACGTGCATGGATACAAGCATGCATGTATGTATACCTCTGCATTGGATGTCCACGTCTAGTTTACATGTTGACGCACATTAGTGGTTGGAGATATGTTCGTGTGCGTGTGAACGTGTCTGCACACATATGCATCAACAACAATGCATACACATAGGCATGCAAATTTATCGGGCGCCTAGGAGCACTCCTGTCCTCGGCAATGCGAAGATGGCGTACTTTGCGTAGGTTTATTGCGATCGTTTTATACTTTCTAGGGTATATTGCCTCAGGGACGCAAGACTTGTATATCTTACTAGGGGTTGCGGCCTAGGGGATGCGAATATTGTAGTTCACGAGGGGTAATAGCCTCGGGAGCGCGAATATGATGTATTTTTACATGTTCCACGCTCCCCCCCAGGTAATTCAAAGCACGCGATCTGGGCGTGGTAACCGGGTCCTTTGGGGCTGCCCCCTCTCGCGCGGACTTGAACAATTTGTAGTAGGAAGCAGACATCAGGACTGTAGCATTGGAGATTTGAAACTGTAATTGGTGCAGGGAGCAGCACACTTCGTCCTGCAGCCTGGTGGCCCCACAAGGGGGGGCCGGCGGATGTGGCTGTTCTTTCTAGGCTTCTTCGGCATCATTTGACGAATTGCCCGCCACAGCGAAGCGAATGAGGAGGAGGAGGAGGAGGAGCAGGAGCAGGAGGAAGAGGAGGTTGTGCAGGAGCAGGAGGAACGAGATGCGGAGGTGGAGGCGGAGGAGGGGGTACGGAAGATGAGGAGGACAGAGGAAACGGACGGATGATCAGGTCGCCAGTTGTGTTTTCCGGTTTTTGCCTGGCGTGGCTTGGCTAGGCAAGGCGCGCGCGGGCAGACAGACGCCAGCCTCCCCTCGCACAAGGTTACGTGGGACACCGTGCGGACCCTGAAAGTAGGGTGGCCCCGCCCGTATCGACGAGAGGGCGCCAGACACAGCGGCCGCACGTGTTCGCGAGTGTTGAGGCACGAGGAACGGGGAGGAATGGATGCGGACGAGGAGGACGAGGAGGAGGAGGAGGAGGAGGAAAAGGAGGAGGAGGAGGAGGAAAAGGAGGAGGAGGAGGAGGAAAAGGAGGAGGAGGAGGACGAGGAGGACGAGAAGGAAGAGGAGGAGGAGTTGGAGGAGGAGGAGGCGGAGGAGGAGTAGGAGGAAGCGGAGGAGGAGGAGGAGGAGGCGGAGGAGGAGGAGGAGGAGAGGAGGAGGAAGAGGAGGAGAATGAGGAGGAGGAGGAGGAGGCGGAGGAGGAGGAGGCGAGGAGGAGAAGGAGGAGGAGGAGAAGGAGGAGGAGGAGAGGCGAGGAGGAGGAGGAGGAGGAGGAGGAGAAGGAGGAGCAGAACGCGGCCCTGGGGCAGAATGAATATTCTGTCGGCGGCGCGCGGGGGGCGGAATGCGTGCCTAAGGCGTCCTTGCTCGACCTCGACAGCTGGCCGCGCTGCTGCAAGGTCAGTTTGGACGTGAGCAACGCCCACAACGAATTCGACCGGGAGGCGGCAGCGAGGGCGGTGGAGGCTCTGGTCCCGGTCTTGCTGCCCTGGGCGCGCCTGGGCTTGTGCACGGCGGCCACGCGCGTGCACGTGGCGCGCGACGGCACGCAGACCCTGCTCTCGAAAGAGCGCGGTGGGGACCAGGGTGGCGCCCTCACCGACCAGGTGTTCCCCCTGTGTTACCTCGGAGTGGCTAGCGTCGTGGAGCAAGCCGCGACCACGGCGGCGGAGCCAGCAAGGGGGCATTGCTACCAGGATGACTTGGACGTCATCTGTGCTCCCACCAGCGCACAGGCTGCAGAAAACACCTTCGCGCAAGCCTGCGCGGCGGTCGGTCTCCGCGGCAACCCCACGAAGACGACGCTAAGCCTTGGGCGGGAGGTCGACGGTGCCGCGCCCCCCGGGGAACGCGAGGTCGAGCCCTGGGCCTTGGTGGTCCGCCACGGCGCGCTGCCGGCGGCTCTAGCGGCCCTAGCCCGGGCGCCAGCGGAAGGGAGCCTCCTGGCCGCGGGCAGCCCAGAGGTGGCCGCCCTGCAGACCGCCCGCGGCAGGCTCTACCACAGACTACGCAGCCTCTGCGCGGCGGGCCTGGGCAATCAGGTGGCGCAGACGCTCCTGCGCGCGCGGACGGGCGCCGACTGCATTTTCTTGGCGCGGACCTGCGGCGTCGTGAGCGGAGAGGCCCGGGCCCTGGACGGGGCGTTTGTCGCAGAGTGCGAGCACGTTCTCGGCGATCAGCTGGACGGCGCCGCGCGCAGGGAACTCCTCCTCGCTGGCGCCGCTGGAGGCCACGGATTGCAGAGCGTGGAGCTGACGGCCCCCGCGGCGCACGCAGCCTCCGGGCACTTCTGGTTGCCGCATTGCCTGCGGCGGCTCGGCCTTGAGAGCGCAAGCGCCCTGACGGCGGTGAGCCCCTGGGCGCGCCGCAGCCTGCTGGTGGCCGCAAGAACGCCCTGCCCCGCGCCGGGGGGCGACCTCGTCAACGTGGGCGACGAGGCATAAACAGCGACGGAGCGCACCTTGGCGCACGCCACCCTCGCTGCGGCTGACCGCCTCGCCGCTCAGGAAGATCCCGCGGCGGCGGCCGCCCTGCGCTCTGCGGGAGGGCCGGGGGCGAACGCGCTCTTGCAGGTGCCGGCGCGGCCCTGCCACCAGCTCACGAACGCGCAAGTGGACGTTGCGCTGAGAGTCCGGCTGCACCTCGACTTGCCCGGCTGCGACTCCCAGAGGCCATGCCAGCACCGACGCCCGGACGGCCGGGTCTGCGGCGCGCTTTTCGACCCGAGAGGGCGGCGCGCTCGGGGCTGCGAGGTCGGCGGGTGGCTGGTCCGCCGGCGCGACGTCGCGCGACGCTGGTCAAGTGGTGCGAGGAGCAGGGGTGCGCAGCGCGCTGGAGGCGAGGATGGACTTTGTCACTTATGCGCCACGCCTCGCGGAGCCGCTCATGGTGGACTTTGCCGTCATGAGCGCGCTGACGCAGGACGCGCTGGCGCTGGGGGCTGCGCAGCGAGGCGGCGCTGCCGCAGCTGCCGCGGCGCGACGCAAGCGGGCCAGCTACCTAGGGGTGGCGGTCGCCCCCTTTGTGGTGGAGGACCGCGGGCGCCTCGGCGAGGAGGCCCCCTTCTGCAAACGCTTCTCGGCCCTCTCCAGGGCCTCCTCCTGCTTGCCAAGCTGTGCTTTGAGGCCCCTTGCGCTGAACAGCATAATCAGGGTCGTCGCGAACTCTAGGACGGCGTCGTCGTATCCCTCGTTCGCATCGAGCCTGTCGAGGATAATCGTACTCAAGGCCTCGAGCCTTGCTGAGACCTGCTCTTTGTAGGCATCGACCTCGGAGTCGGATGCCTGAGGTCCAGGCGGCGCCCTCCAGCGAGGATGTTGACGAGGAATCTTCGGCAGAGCAGGTCGGATGTGAAGCAAGTCCTTCGCCGACCTGTATTCGTCGCCGCCCTTGAGGTCCATCTCCGACTGCGAGGAGCTCGATGCCAGTTCCTGGGGCTTGGCAGGGCTCAGGACGGCGAGGCCTCGCGGTGTGCAAGAAGAGCAGCTTCGCCCTTGTCCTTGCCTTCGCCCTTGCCACGGGCAGCAGCATGTTCGCGAAGAGGCGGTGCTTCGCCAGACCTGCGGGGAGGAGGACGTCTCCACGGAGGTTGCTCGGGCTTCACATTGCCACACTGGCGGCAATCCACTCGCTCGTGCCAGTTCGAGCAGTAGCAGACACCACGGGGCCATGGGGATCCTGGTGGCGACCACGTCATAACAGGCTTGGTCATCGCTCCTGGCCGAACGAGACCACGAGGCTGTCGAATGTGATGTCGTTGCAGCAGCTCCCTAGCCGCCGCAAGGCGGATAAACACGACTCGCTCTGGCCCTCTGGTGCCACGCGGGCTTCCCAGCCCTCCCCCGCGTGGTGGTGGGGGTCAGCACGGCCGCGCGGCAGCGCAATGGCGGGCTGCGGACCGACGGCGCGTCTAGCAGCTGTCCCGAAGGTCAGGGGCCGCTACCTGGTAGCACCCAGGCCCCTCGAGCCGCGACGGCGGCTCAGGAGCAGTAGGAGGAGGAGGAGGAGGAGGAGGAGGAGGAGGAGGAGGAGGAGGAGGAAGAGGAGAAGGAGAGGAAGAGGAGGAGGAGGAGGAGG